CCAGGGAGGAGCAGCCACAGCTTCTCTGGCCAACCTGGGACACTGTCTCACCACCCTCACACCAAAGAATTTCTTCAGGGCACAGCTCAGAGCACACCAGGAGGAGTGTTTGGGTAGAGCTGGAGGTTTCTGCTGTGAGTGCATTAATGGTTTAGGATGATGTGCCATAAGGGCACACATCCTGTGTATACAGTGGCATATATAGATAGATATAGATATAGATATAGATATAGATATATAGATATAGATATAGATATAGATATAGATATAGATATAGATATAGATATAGATATAGATATGGTACAGTGAATTGTTTTCCTTCTAAATTTCTTCTGAATTTCTGTGCCAGCACCCAGATAGACGTGTGCTGGCCGAACTCCGGTGTTTAATGCATGTAGAGGACAATGTATGTGAGCAGCATGGAAGTCCTGGGTTTGCTGCTCACATCAGACACGGCATTTCTAACAGCCATGCCGTGCCGTGCCGTAGCAATTAGCTTCTGATTAAAGAGTGGCTCCATGGGCGTGTGGCTCGCTGCTCCCTGGGGAGCATTGGGAAATTTGACTTTCCAAGGGCCATGAAATCACCTTAGATGACCTCGCATCTCCTGGTTGCTTCTTCTCCATGGGAAGGGGAACAGCCCTACCACTGTCCCTCTGTGTTGGGGTGCCTCCTTCTCCCCAGCTCACTCCTGGGATTGCCATCCCCGCTGGCAAGGGGGCTCTGGGACCATCATAGCTCCCCAAAATTAGGAGGTGATCCAGGGAGACTGATGCAAAGAGCGAGAAGAGCTGCCCTTGTGCCATGACCCTCTGCAGAGGTTGGAGATGGGTTTTCTACAAGATTTAATGTCTGTATGAAGTTGTACCTTTCTTCTGAAAGTATCCTTGGGAGCTTTGCCATTGACATGGACATGTGCCAAGGGCAGATGTCCCCAGGGGACCTGGGATCAGGCAGAATTTTAACATGTGGTCACTAAATGAGGTGATTTTGGGTTAGAATGAAGTTGAGAATCCCAGTTTGCTGGTCCCTGTGCTTCCCACCTCTGTTGGAGACAGAGAGCTTTCTGCTAATTGCTTTTAATGGGCTTTCTGCTAATAGCTTTTAATTTCTTTTAAGCAGATCGATTTAAGAGGCCTCTGTAGCAGCTTTTAGGACTGTAGCATGTTGGGACTTTCAGAAAATGGTAAAGTTCAGCCCGTCCATGCTCAGTAACTGCTTTGCCCCCATGTTTGGTTTGGGGTTGATCACTTTCTGCCCAGCATTTGAGGAATTTGATTGAAATGTGAATCCTGACCTTTGTCAGAGGATGGAGAGTGTGAGCAAAACACCACATTTTGGGGCTGTTTGTATCACCCCTGCTTGGATGCGAGTGGGGTTTGGGGTCAGCCCGGGCAGTGGACAGCAGGAGATGTCTGGCAGATGTAAGAATTGCCATAGGGGACCAAACCAATGGTCCATCTTGCCCTGTCCCCTGTTGGTTGGGGAAGAGGTTTGCGCTGATCCTTGACTTGCATCTGGCACTCAGCAGTGTGGGGCTTTCTGGATAGAGACCACCTACACCACAGGATGTCCCAGCAGTGGGACTGTCCTCCTTGTGTCATCTCATCCCTTTCCGAGCACATCTGACCTCATGCTTTGCAGTGAGGAGCAGCCTAGGAAACCTTTGAGGTTGTCTGTGTTAGTGAAGGTTATTGGACGTGGCCATGAAGGTTGTCCTTGTGCTGGCTTTGGGGATGATGAGCAGAGCACCAGCACCCACAGCAGCACCAGCCCCACAGCAGAAACACATAATGAGTTGAAACCCTTCTAAAAATGGTGCAAGCCCATATTCCTCCTCCCTCCTCAGTGGGCACACTGGGCAGAGGAACCCCATTGGGGCAACCTCACCACCAGCCATCACTCCTTCCCCTCAGGCTCTCCTGCACCATCAGCCCCTGCTTGCCATGGGACATGGAGTCCACCACCTGCTCAACACACACCACTTACCTCAACTTGGGATCAACCAAAGAGAGGAGAGGTGTTGCTATTAATTTGTGTTTAGTCCCAAAAGAGACATTTGCCAAGTTTCCACCTGCTCCCTCCATTCATGGTCTGGGGTTTGGTGCTCTCTAGGGCTGAAGCTCTGGTTTTTCACTGTTACTGCACCCAACACAGGTTGAGACAGGGCTTCTGAGTGTTTTGCTGGTGGGGAAGGGGACAAGGACTGATGGACAAGGGTACTGCTGGGAGCAGAGCACACGAGCTCAGTAGGATAAGACAGAGCTATGGTCAGGTTGTAGGTGCTAAATAAAGCAGGTCCCAATTTGACCCAGCATCTGAACCCCCTCCCATGTCCTTCCCTGTGAAACCACATCGATGTTAGGAGGATAAAAGTAGGTTTGGGTACCCATCCAGCTGGGCACAGAGGTGCTACACTGCAGATAATGGCTGGGAAGGAAGAGGTCACCCTTTGGAAACAGGTTATGGGACCACCTTTGATAGCACATCATCTTTTCATGCTCAAAAAACCAAATCTCTTTGTTTCTTTTTAAGCAGCCATTTAATTTTTCAGCACACACCATCTTCCTTCATGCCATAAATCAGTGTCTGCCATCTGCAAACCAGCCATTTGCTCATCCTGAGCTTGACCCCACCGTTAGCTTCAACAGCTCCCACGTTGCTGGGAAAAGGGCAGCGAGGAGTTGGCCCATGCAGTGACACAATGCTGGCTCCCTGTGCGGTGTCATGAGCTCACACCCTCTGCATGTGGGTGTTTGTGTCAAGGTGGCCAACCTGGTTTTTGGACAAGCCTTTTAAGTCATTTTGTTAAGTCCCTCTCATTAGGTCTGGATCCACCAAACTTGGTGGGACCCTTTGTCCTGGCTGCAGCAAGCACTGGGACAAACTGGAATGGTTTTATCTTGGGTGTAACACTGGTTTGAGTAGTAGTGCTTGGATCAGAGAGGTTTCAAGAGCTGGTGGGCTAATTCATGGTGACTCAGCCACAGGAACTCAACCTCTGAGTACACATCCTCATCCAAGGGCTGGTTCCTCCTACCATCCATATCCATAGCACTATGTCCTCCAAAGGGTCCATGAAGTTCAGTGAGGTGTCTGAAGCACCAGTGGGATGGTAGATGGCACCTAATGATATCCTTGTGTTGCCGTTGACATTCTGGCGCGTGGTTAAGCGGTGTCATGAACTAAATGGGAGCTCTCATCTCCTTACCTTTGTGTTGCAGATGTCCCAGCCTGGCTGAAGAGCCTCCGGCTGCACAAGTACGCCGCCCTCTTCTCGCAGATGACGTATGAGGAGATGATGGCCCTCACCGAATGCCAGCTCGAGGCCCAAGTATGTCCCACATTGGTCATAAAGGGATCAGCTGTGGTTGATGAGACACCTTCAGTGCCTCTTTTTGCATCTTCACGTGGAAGGAGTTTTGCCTGCAGGTGGTTGGGAAGCAAGCAGAGAAAGGAAAATTGGGTCTTGGGGAGTGAAAAAAAAACCACATTGTACCTGAAAAAGGCCTTGTCCCACATTTCTTACTGGAACCCCAGCATGAAAGTCTCATCTCTGGGAGCTGCACTTGGTTTTTTTTCCAGTTGGGATTAAGTTCAGGAGTTTCAGGGGCACAGTCTGCAGTACCCAGCTCCTTTAAAGTCAGTGGGGTTGTGGTGGACAGTTGCCTTGTTAACCTTGGCCGATGTCCCCACATCCACATTTTCCTCTGCATTATCCTTGGGATGAAGAGGGCTGGTCAGCACCTTTGCTTTCACTGTGTGCTGATGTACTGGGGAGGGACAGACTAGCTGGAAATCTCGATCTTCAGCAAGTCTCTAAGTGATTTTCTATGCTTCCCACTAATCCCTGAAGTCAGAAATTTGATGAGTTTACAGCAGCCCTTTCGTTTAGGGGAGGGAGGGTTTGGGCTGACCCAGCTGTGCTGGGGAAATGTTAACACCAGGTTTTGTGCTGGTTTTTGCAGAACGTTACCAAAGGCGCAAGACACAAAATAGTCATCAGTATCCAAAAGCTAAAAGAAAGACAAAACCTGCTCAAATCTTTAGAAAGAGTAAGTAATCACAACCACTTTTGTATTTCCTCTTTTTCTAGAAACCAGGAATTAATTCTGGGCTGAAGTACTCTTTGGTTAGTCGTGTTGTTGGGATCTTTTGCAGAGAAATGTGTTGCTGGCTTTGCCACATCTTGGTGATGTCTCAAACGCTTCTGTACCAGATGCAGGTTTTATTTGGGGCTGTATTTTGCAGAGCAGATCCTAATCCATCTCTGGCACTCCCGTAGCTGGGATGGATATACCTTGCAGCACTGGTACGAGCCCTGCACAGCTCCAGGGTGCTCAGAAACACCTGAGCTGCAGGTGATGGAGGGCACCATCCCAGTGGTGCTGATGGGAAGGTGGTCACCCATCCACTGAACCATGGTGTGGGGGCAGCTCTAGCAGCACCAGCCACTGTGGTCCTCTCTCCCACTGGAGAGCCAGCTGGGTAGAGCCTTGAACCACTGGTTATCCCTTTACCACTCAGTCAACTCTCCCATCTTGATGCCACTGTCCCTCTCAGCAGCCCCTCCACACGTAACAATCCTCACAGGGACCCCCAAGCCCTGCCTCTCCCTCTCCATCCCCAAAAAGAGTTGGGATTTCCTGGTGTCTGTCAGGTCAGGGACCACTGTGCTTTTCTAGAGCATCATATGGGCAATCCGACCCCAGATAAAAAGCCAGGCACCCACATCAGTGCCTGAACAACAGCTTAAATTTCCAAGGAGAACAGAAAGAAACTTCTTTGTCCCTTCAACAAAAGCTTAAACTCTGTAGAAATGGGCTGTTAGGGAAACAGCAGCACCGCAGAGCGACTGGGAGCAGCTCACCCAACCTCTCCCTATTTATTATCTCAATATTATATTATATTTAATTGCACTGTCTTCAAACAGCAACTTGCAGAGCCTCCCACTAGGGGCTTTGAGATACTTATGTGGTGTGTTGCTATTTATTGGTGTTTTCGTTAGCTCACTGCTTCGCTATTTATTTATAACATGGGATTGTACTCAGAGTATGGCAGGAGCTAATAAAGCCGTATTTACCTCCGTATATTAATAATAACTATTAAATCCAGGAGACAGCCCGTTGGATCGAGCTGGCTTCAGCGATGTGTTTTCCAGGCAATTGCACAGCCTCTTCCCCTGGCTTCTCCGCCTGGGTTTTGAAATGTGGTATTGATTGACTCGTGTGGGAGCTTAAGCCCAATTCAGCTGACAAAACCAGCCACGCACACTGTAAAATGCAGGAGATAAGTGGCAAACTCTGCTTTTGAGCCCCCCGTGGGGTGTGTTGGGGCTCTGACCGTGTCCCACTTTGCTGGTGCTCAGAGCTGCCTGTTTTATTTGGGAGGAGACTTCTCTGGTTTTCCAGGCTTCCCATCCAATTTCTTTTTGTTAAACAAGAGCATGTGTGGGACTTGGATTTTTTTGGGCAGTGTCTCACTGCTAAAGTTTGCTGCTTTCTTGGAAAGAGCTGCTCCACCCCTCTCTGCTGATTAGAACAGGATTTTTCCCCGAAAAAATAGCACCCAGCAGACAGATGCCAGGTCTTTGAGAGAAGCAGAACTGAGATATCTGAGAGCGAGCTGGGGGTGAAAAAAGGAATTGGGGTGAACAACCATTTCAGGGTTTCAGCTGTGCACCCACTTTGTGACTCTTCCCTAGGCACAGCCAGGACTCACTCCAAAAACTGCCTCTTTCCAACAGTGTCCCACAAGCCAGACCATGCAGGAGCCTGCAATGAGCTGTTCTGGTCCAGGCTACATTAAAAACAAAATGCAATTATTTCTTATCAGCAAGAGGAGGATCTAACAGTAGAAAGAGAGTTCTTGATCCACACTGTAACTGAGAGCAAGGCTGGGCGTGCACCCAAATTCTCTCCCTCCTGGGTGGACCTCCCCCAGGATCTCCAGGCTGAGTATTTTTCCTCTAGAGATACAAGTTCACCTGCAGCCTCGTGGTTTCCCCCTCTGTGTCTGACCACAAACCACCCTGCTTCCCTTGAAACCCTCCCTTTCCCCTCTGAATCCACTCCCCAGCTCATCCCAGTATGGATGGGGATGTCCCTGCTTTGCTGCTGCAGGATGGGCTCCTGCTTCCCAATGTTATAATGGTTCACAGGGCATAAAGATGCTATCACAGGCTTTTTGGGGCAGAGCAGTTATTGGAGAGCCAGGCTTGAAGGCAGTGCTGGAAACTGAAGACAGGCCCACATTAAAAAATATCATTGAAATGAAGTAGGACTGAAATGTCACGGTTGTGGGATTGCTGGGGAAGGAGCAAGATACTCACTGGTTTGGGCATTGAAATCTCACAGACTCAGTTGCTCTCATGAGGTTACCGTCTTCCTGGTGGAAATTTGGAAATGCTGAAGCTGGATTGTCACTGGTTTTGGGTCCCAGTGGTTCCCAGGGCATGTTTATGTCTGAGGACTCAGGTCTGAACACATTCATTCATAATCAGGTGCAGTCCCTGCAGTGGCTCCGCACTCCCCTGGTCTTAGCAAAAGATTCAGTTAAACTTGGCTGTTGAATCATAGAATCATAGAATGGTTTG